ATACCGATATACAGATAAGGTTTCTCAAAATACCGATTTTTGAGTTTTAATACCGATTTATACCGTTTTTTTTTTTTATTAATACTCAAAATGATTACTGCCTGCCCACACTGAATTGTCAGAGGAAACTATTGTGACAGACTTTTATCTTATTGAAAATTAACATTTTTGAGAGTGCTCTAAAAAAATTTCATCTTCAAAAATGTCTTATGATTGAATCTCTTTCGACTAATGCTTCCATTTCCTCGCCATTTTTGTTTACAAAGGAGTCGAGAAACAGATAATGGGTCACCCCAGTAATTTGTGGAAATCGGGAAATACTTCTATTCTTTGGAAAAATGGGTCCAAAAAACGTTAATTTTTGAACTTCCTGAAATTTCTTCAATCTTTCTTTTGAAGTTTCTTCCAACTTTCCCTAGGAATTTCTGTACACCTTAGCCTGTAACTTATTTTCCTATTTCTTGCGGAAAGCTATTTCGACTTGCCTTGGAAGCTTCTTCTGGCTTCGTCGAAAGGTTCTCCCGTCTCCTCCCGTCAGTTTTTTCAACTTCCCCGGTACTACAGAAATGCTTCCAGAGTTTTATTGCGGTTCCATTAGTTTCAGGAAAACTTCAGGAACCTTTCAGAAGCTCTGAAACTTCAGAATAGTTCGGACTTTTGGGTAGGTTCCGATAAATTAAAAACAGTTTCATGAACTTCTGTTCAAATTCGAGAACCCGGAAATGTCAATAAAGCCCAGAGAACTCTAATGAACTTAAGGAAACTGAAATATTTTGGAATCTTCACAAGACCAAAGAACTTCAAAGAAATTCAATGGTTTTCCGGATAGTTCCATTTGTTTCAGGAGAATTGAGATAACTTTAGGGAAGCTCTGAGAACATCAGGACATATTAATTCAAGGAAATTTCTTAATCTTTAAATTAGTTTAGAGAAAATCAGAGAATTTTCAAAAACTTCAGTAAAAATTGTGAGAACATTTTAAGGGAAGTTCTGTGTTTTTTATCGGCAGTTTACAGAACTTTAAAAAAATTAAAAAAAATCGGGAAGATCAAAGAACTTTAATGCTGATGTTCATTAATTTAAAAAAAAGTATGCGCTAAAGATGTTCAAGGGACTTTTAAAGTAGATAAGAGATTTTCCGGTAGTTTCAAAATAATCAGGGAAGATCCGAGTACTTCAAGGATGATCAGAGAACCTCAAAACATCCCCATTAACTTTAGGAAAATTTCAAGAACTTTCAGGGAGTTCCGAAGAATTATGGGATATTCCGAAGTGCAATTCAGGAATGTTCCGAAAATTTCAGGAACATTGTGAGATTTTCATAGATGTTTTATGAATATCAGGAAAATTGCTGGATCAATAGAGCATATGAGTAACTACAGGGAATATTGTGCTAACATCCCCAAGAAATCTAAATTTTCCAATTTTCCCAACTTCTTCTTGAAGTATCTTTCAACTGTTCTGTAAGCCCTCTGGCGTCTGACTTTTTCCAGAAGTTTCTTCCAATCTACTTAGCGAAGTTTCTCCCAGTGTCTCCTGGAAGTATCTTCCGTCTTCTCCAAGAAGTTCAATTAAAGTTCAACCGCATGCATCTCTTGAGTTCTCCCAAAAGTTTATTTTGTCTTCCTATGAAAGTTTCTTCATAAGTCACTCTCCGTAGGTTTTTTCCGACTTGTTGGAAGGTTTTTCCAAGCTTCTCCTAACTTCCCCAGGAAATGGGTCCTCCGGGATTGGATTCCAATTTCCAAACTTTTCGGACTTCTGATTTTTTTCCGAAAGTTACTAAAATATGTTTGCCAGAAGATTCTCAATGTTTGTCTTGCAAGATCCCGGATGTTTTTTAGACATTTTTTAGAACTTCCTTCAAACTTTCTCCACAAGATCTTCTTTATTCTTCCTCTGGAAGATTAGTCGGTACCATTAAGAGACTTATTAAAATATTTCCCAGAGATTTCTTCCAACTTACATAGAAAGTACATCTCTTGATTTTAGTCCAAAAAAAATTGAAAAAAATTAAAATTAATTAAATCAGTGAATACCGATAAATACCGATTTTTTAATCATTTGATACCGATAATCATGAAAACAATCTGGCAACGCTGGCAAGCACCTCTTTTGTGCTTTCTTCCACAGCGATTACAGTCAAACATATCTTCATTCTACCTTTTTGGTTCTTCGTGTCGTTTTACCGACTTTAATACTTCAACCTTTTCTTCTTTATTCAATTCTCTTTTTTGCATCCATGTTAGTTCAAAGTTACGACACAGTTCAATAGTTTTCTGAAGCGTGAGCTCGTCATCAAGTAATTGAGGAACTAGCTTCGAAAACCGCGTTCCAATGATTAACTTGTCTTTAATTAGCGAGTCGTGTAAAACGCTAAATGAAAATTTTTTAGCCTGCTCCCGGACGCGAGTTACAAACACATCGAAAGGTTCTTCTTCCTTCTGCACTATTTTGTTGAAATGATACCGCTCGTATGTGATACATGACTTCGGAGTAAAGTATTCGTTGAATTTTTGAACTATCACGGTAATGTCATCTTCCTGCTCGGGGCGTAGCCCAAAAGTATCGAAAATACGTATACAATCCACACCGATTGCACTTAACAGCGTTGCTGCCTGCACTGCGCTTGGTTTCACATCTAATTGTGTCGCGATTGAAAACCACCTGAACTGACGGTACCAACTTCGCCACTGTTCTGCCATATTATCACTTAACACTAGTGGTTTTGGTGGCTTCAGACCTGCTGTAGAAGCAGCCGGAGCTCCACCAGCAGCCGCCATGTTGTATGCGATTACAAAACTCGTTTTTTTATGTGTTTCCGTTCCTTTTTTTTACGATTTTCACGTTCGTGAGGAAACAATTCACTGTTTCTTATCTTTATTGTTGTTTCTCAACATTTTACGGCCAATTGCACCCGAAACTCCGCGGTTTAACAAAATTTAATTCTGACACCATGTGATTCGTGTTGAGACTGGAGTTAGCTTTATTCAAGAAGGGTCTATTACAAAGGTGAGCACATAAGGTGATGGTATTCACAAAGTGTGAAACACGTTAAATGTAAACTACTCACAAGTTACTACATTACAAGGTGTAGCGTGTGCGGTATGAGAACCAGAGGGGACCGATGCAGCTGCGGATGACAAACGTTGGTTGAGTGGCAGTGGAGGAAGTACCGGAATCGGCCGGCGTGGTTGCAGAGTTGGATAGTTCCGATCGTTATCTTCTGGTACCGGGTCACTTCTCCGTTTCGGTTGGTTCTTCGTTGATGACTTTTTGCAGATTTGAATGAATTCCACTCGCTTTGGGCAATCACGGCTTGTGGCTCGATGGGTGGAACCACAATTGATGCACAATGGCTCTGCCTCGTCGGAAAGTTTGCTTTCCTGAGTCTTGTGTGCGTCACCACAGGACCCACATTTGGGCAGCATGTGACAGTTCCGGGTGCCATGTCCAAAACCATGGCAGTTTGTGCACTGCGTGACGTCACGGTGCACAGCCTTGTACCGCTTCCATTCCACTATCGTGCTGAAAAGAGTGCGGATGCTACGCAACTTTTCCATGTTCACTGAATGTTTGGCAAAGTGGACAAGGAAAAGAACGTCCCTGTAGTCCACACCGGTGTTGTGTCTCATCATCCGGAACACCTTCACTGGCTTGAGGTCCAGCTCCTGCAGTTCCTTCAGTATTGTATTCGGCTCCGTATCCGCAAGCCCATGCAGCACTGCTTTGAATGGCTTGGATGCAGCCACGTCGTGTGTGTAAAACCCCTGCTTGTGATGTTGCAGAAATTTACCGATGGCTTCGTATTCAATTTTGGTGCCGGTGATGCAACGCTTGAAAAGTGGTTTCATATTTTTTCAGCTCATTTTTCAGAGCATCACTGTCCCGTTGTGTGGTGAAAATTGGTGGTAGCTTGATTTTTGCCACGGTAGTATCCGATACTTGCTCCTGAATAGCCATAAGCCGATTTGCGACCTCTTCCGAGACCGTCTGCTGAGTGCGCACCCTTTTCGAAGGGCCTGGTGCTGGCGGCGCCTCCTCACGGTGGCGTACCATTTTGGTGGTAGCTAACAGCGGCGTCAACGCGAGAACGAAAGCTACGATAACGAGCGAATGTGAATAACCTGAGTGAGGGTAGTTGGAGCATATACCCTATATAATTTAAAAATCAGCTAGGAAACTAACTTCAAAGTGAAGCATTTTAGTCACTTGAAGGTGTCACGTGGGACGAACTAATATATAATAAAAATAGCTCAAAGTCAGCGCGGAAAATATCATTTGATTGATTATTTCGCCAACACTTCTTATGAGGATACAATTCGCGTAATGCACTGCTAATCAACTTTATATTCAGGCTGGTGTTAATCAGCTTTGTACACCTTAAATGGACTAACAAACCGATTCTGTTATTACCGTTCAGCTTGAATTGTTACTTGGTCCCTTCTGTAAAGGCTAGAAGGAAACCAGTTTGCCAAATTGGGGAAACCTTTTTTAACATCACAAATAATGAATAAAGCATCCAACAATGCTATGTAATAGGATGAATTCGATTAACCGCACATGTCGGTTTGTTCCCCTGTACTGCGTAGGCCAGGTTTAATTCACCTTTAAGGCTCGTTCGTAGCGACTTGACTTGACGATGGCCACTCGATGAAGGTGGATGGCAGTAGTACAAGAATAGCTTCTCCGTTTGCTTCGATGATCCACCCGTCCATCCCTGTGCCCTCGACGCTGCTGCTGCTGCTGCTGCTGCTCGGAATAAACTCAATCAAATATGAATCGAATTGCTACCGAGAAGCAACATGATTGGTGTTCCTCCGAGGGAAGGCATCCCATTTCGCGCGTGGGCTGCGGGAATATTGTTTCAGATTTTAGATTCTTTTAACTCTCTCATTCTCGTGTGGGTAATCTTAAAACGAATTAATACAGTCAGTCGTGGTCGTGGTTCGAATCGATATTAATGCAATTTCATCTTTTTTACTCCTCTCCTTTTGCAGCCAGCGACCATCCCGAAATCGCCGGCCACCAGGCGGCGCATGTCCAGACATGGGTCGGTCCTGATTGAAACCACCCCGCGGCAGATCCCGTGGGACCTCATCGACCGCCTTCTGGTTCCAATCATCGGCTGTCACGCTGCAGCAATTGTTTGCTCCGCCGTGTTCAACTTTCTCGGAATTTCCCAGGTGTCGGCCTTCGTGCTGTTTCTGTTCTTCGCCATCCTGACCGTCGGGGCCGCCATCGGTTTCCACAGTCTTAAGGTAAGTGGATGCAATGATGTTAGGAGCTGCAATTGCCATCCCATGCAAAAACCCACAGATCCGTATAAATTTATGAGCTATTTCGGTACCAGGATGTCATTATTTCATACATCAAAAGGAACTGAATTTCAGCAGATTTCTAAAATGCGGCACACTGACAGCTCTTTGAACTTCCGAAAATCAAGCGACGGATGATGGCTAATGGCATTCACACACCACATCCTACCTTGCCTGTCAAGAGGAAAGTCAATCTCTTTATTATCCTGCTACGGTACCCATGTCAAAAAATCAACAAACGCGGATATGGATTTATGCTGTTTCCGTCCTGCGACGACGCATTCTGCATCAGACGAATGAGGAGATCCTTGCCGTGTTCGAATATTCGCAATTCCTCGCATGTACGGGCACTTCTGGGCCGCTAGCGGAAGCATTTAGGAACCGGTGTGGTATCTGCTAGTCGTAAATCGCGTGAGAACGGCCAGAACAGACAAAAAATTGATAATGGTCCGTAAAATTTAACGACCAATCGCCGTCGGACGGAACAGAGCCACAAAAGTGACATAGAGCCTGTTAAAAGGGCGTTACACATTCCCCAAGCCCGTCCGGTACACGGCCATCAACGAGCGGCTATGTCTCGCGGCAATCATAAAATGTGTTTCGTTAAGGACTGGCTTTGCGTCCATCAGTTGATGGCCCTCAAGCTCGCAGAACGACGACGATAATGCGTGGGCTGATGCCAGATGGAGCTATTTATTGGCGGCACTTTATGGGTGATTCGAGAATTTCACTCGCTTCAATTGTGGACGGATCCAGCATCGGAAATTAGCTTGGGAAAGTATGTTTTGAAGAAGAAGAAAAAAATGCGGTTTGCTGTCTAGTCCACAGTCGTAATGGGATTTGTTAATGCAACACATTTTATGATCGGAGATACTGCCAAGTGCGTGACATAGCACCAATCAACAAGTCGTAGAAAATCCATAATACGTTTAAGCGCCACGCAAGCTTTCTCTTGCTGCAAGAAGTTCCTTTTTCTCAACAAAGAATTCCTTGCTCGGTTGCAAGACCTCAGAATGAGTCATCAACCGTGACCTTTAATCCAGGGCGGAAATTTCAAACAAGGCCTCCAACGAAGATATAAATCCAATATCCTGGATGGAGGTTTCCTTAGCAGATTTGTCTAGCCAGTTCTTCTGCCTCATTCCTGCCCTTCTTGATCCTTATCCTCTGGCTAGTGCATTTTCTCCGGAATACAGCACCAAAAAGCATTGCAAGTTTTAACGAGGTTTAAACGCATTCTTGAAGTCTAAATCATGGTATACAGAATCCTTATAAAACCAAATTGTTACACGGGAGTGCTGTCATGGTATATTCAGAGCTGGTTACTCGCTAGTTCCGCATATCTGTGCACCCACCTCAAATCGATGTCTAAGGTGTAACCGTTTGTTACAATGTACTGTCTCGTTTTAATAAGCTATCTGATGTTGGTTAGTAGGATTTATAAAATAATATGTATTCAAATATTGTAAATTTGTTAGTAGGGAATTGTTTAAACATTAAATTGTATAACATTCAAGTGGGGAGATGTTACAGCATAGTGGATGCAACCGAATACGGATCCTGATGGGGAAACCGAATACGGGTCCCGATGGGGATTCCGTAAACGAATCCCGATGGGGAAACCGAATATGGATCCCGATGGGGATTGCGTAGATGGATCCCGATGGGAATTCCGTAAACGGATCTCGATTAGGATTCCGCAAACGGATCCCAATGGCGATGAATCGACGCAATGTTGCGATGAATGCTTCCGTGGACAAATCGCAGACAAGCTCTAGATGTACAGCTTTCAATGCGAAGCAAACAAAAACGACAATGAATGCTTTTCGTGCTGCAGCTCGTCGGTGCACTGGCTTCATGTAGACGGGTCCACAATAATCTACTCCTGTCACAGCAAATGTTCTAGTAGGTGCGGTGCGAGGTTTGGGTAGTTGGCCGATAGGTTGGGTGACAGGAACAGGGTTTTGGCGAAAGCAATGCAAACACTTACGATACACAGAGTTGGCGATATGTTTTCCGTTAACCGGCCAGTATTCTTGGTGCATCGTGGCCAATGTCATGCGTGGACCTGAGTGCATACAGAGTTCATGGACGCAGCATTCTCAGAGATGATTTCCTGGATACAGATCGATTTCGAGCTAGCTCTTTGTACCCCCCGGCAAAATTTCCTGCTGCGCAATCTTCGTGATGACTTCCTTAGCATGTTCCAGCTCTGTTACTGAAGCGCACCGGTGCGGATGATTATTGATATTTCCTCGGCAACGATTTTTGAAACGAAGAAGTAAAGCTGTAATCCGAAGTATCCGCCAAAAAGATGAATATCGCTGGAACAAGAAATGATGGTCCAACGTTTTCTGTCCTACAAGAGCTGTTTTCCGGCGTTCCAGCAAATCCTCAGATGGAGTATCGTTCGGATGTTTAGGCCAGCTTTCTTCTCCTAATAACAGCCATGGGAGTCCACACCGCCAAATGATGTTGGAGACGAATTCTTTGGGAAGCATTCCTCGTGACACGTGGTCCGCCGGATTGTCGATTCCGTTTACGTGATTCCAGCTGTGGCCGTGAGTTAACAACTTGATCTCCGATGTACGATTTCCAATGTAGGTCTGCCATGTATTGGGTGGTGCTTGTATCCAGTGCAGAGTTACCGTAGAGTCGGACCAGAAACTGCTAGGAATCCCTTTCATCCGCAGCGCTGCTGACACCCGGGCATACAGCTTCGCCCCCAAAAGTGCAGCACAAAGCTCTAACCATGGAAGACTAATCCGTTTGAGTGGTGCAACCCGTGATTTTGCCGCGATGAGTTCGACGTTAATATGCCGTTCCTTGCTATTAGATCGTGCGTAGATGCATGCACCATATCCAGCTTCTGAAGCATCAGTAAAGATGTGGAATTGCACTGTCGATGAAACTGGTAAGAAAAGGTACCGGGAAACCTTGTAACCGCCGAGAAGTAGTAGCTGCTCTGAAATTTCCTTCCATTTGACCATGATGTCTTCAGATACTTGATCGTCTCATCCTGCATTCACTATCCAAAGTTGCTGCATCCGAATCTTGGCCCATGCTATGAACGGAGACACCAATCCAAGTGGGTCGTAGAGCTTTGCAATCGCCGAAAAGATCTTCCGTTTTGTCCAACAACCGTCGTTGATAAGTGGCTGAACTTCGATGCTAAACTGCTCTGGGCCTATCTCCCACCCCACTCCAAGTGTTTTGATTTTTTGCGGTTCGTCGAAATGCAGCGTTGATTCCATTCCCAGCAAATCGGTTGGCATGTTGTGTAGTACTTCCACTCGGTTTGAGTACCATTTTCGAAGTTCAAGACCTCCTTCTTCCATCATAGCTTGTACCTCCCTTTGTAGTTTGATGGCTTCTTCCACAGACTCGGCTCCAGAGAGAAAATCGTCCATATAGAAATCTTCTTGCACAGCGCTGGCAGCAAGCTTGTATTTGTTTTCTAAGTCCTGAGCCAACTGTTTCAACACCCGCGTAGCGAGGAACGACGATGGAGCTAAACCGTAGGTGACAGTCTGCAGCTCGTACAGTTGAAGTGGTTCCGAACCATCGAATCTCCATAATATCCGCTGGAGTGGAGTGTCGTCCTCATGTACCCGAATCTGGCGGTACATTTTTGCGACATCAGCGACTAAGAGCAACAGGGTATTTCCAAAAGCGAAGCATCAAATCTAACAGTTCATCCTGAATATTGGGCCCAGAGAGCAGAACATCGTTGAGCGAAAAACTCGTGGATGTTTTCGCCGACCCATCGAAGACAACCCGTACCTTTGTGGTCGAGCTAGATTCTTTAAACACCGGATGATGCGGAAGATAACAGACTGATTTGTCTTCATCCAACCGATCGTCATTGGCCATACCGATGCATTTCATGTGCCCTAGGTCCAAATACTCCTGCATAAATTCCACGTAATACTTGCGTAGATTGGGGTCACAGTTCAGCCGTTTTTCTGTTTGAAGAAATCGCCGTAAAGCCGCTTGTTTCGATTCTCCAACCATGCTGTGAAATTCCATGCGTTTAGGATAACGTACTATGTACCTGCCAGTACTGTCACGCTTTACAGTATTCTTGAAGTGTGCTTCACAGTCCTCTTCTTCTTGCGAACTTGGTTTTTTAGTCTCGAGCTTCTCCACTGTCCAGAATTTTTCAATAGCCTTGTCTAACGAGTCCACCTTCGCTACATGGCAAGTGATGTTCGTCGCCTCATCCATGGATTTCGTTTCGCCTGTAGCTACCCATCCGAACATCGTACTGACAAATACTGGAAGCGTACTGTCGAATTTGAGAACTTGAAGCCGGCAACCATCGCGTACGAGGAAGTCGTAAAAGTACTGAGCACCCAAAACCAGATCGATCGGACCAGATACAAAGAATTCCGGATCAGCTAGAGCCATGTTAGCAGGAGGTTTCCACTGAGTCAACGGAAGAGAAACTGAAGTCTGATCATCGGTAACATGCTCCATAACCAGAAAATCCAGAGCCATTGAGAAATCTTGCACGCGAGAAGCGATTGTAGCGGAAACTTGATAAGCTGTGTGACTACGTGATCGTCCTATACCAGAAATTTCCACTTTCCTGTCCCGCCTTGGTAACCGGAGTAGCTTACAGAGATTTTCAGACATTAGGTTAGCTTGCGATCCAGAATCCAGAAGTGCCCTTGCGAGATGAATCCTTCCCCAAATATCCTTGACGTTCAGCAGAACCGTTTGCAGAAACACGTGCGATTTTGGCTGTCCCATCGCCAGATTAAACCACCAGAGTTCAAAGCACCACCCGATGTTGATGGAACAGGTGAATCCTCGTTGTCATTCACTGCTGGAGTAGGAGCAGAACCAGAACCAGGAAAACCAGGGTGGAACAGTGAATGATGCTTCTTTGAGCATGTCTGGTACCGAAATTTGGAAGGACAATCTCAAGCCAAATGATT